AAATAAAATCTTAAAAAAAAAAAAATAGTGGTTTATTTATCTGAACTGTCTGCTTAGATTTTGCTAAATGAATCCCATTTTAACATGACTTAATCCATAAAACTGTAATATATCACAGAACAGTTAACATTTTCCAAAACTTAACACCGTGGGATCCAAATGTACATATCAGCATGGACATTGGTATCAGTCCGTTTCTCAACACCTCTATTATGAAAGAATTCTATTAAAGGCAAAATTCATAGTTTCTTATCTAAAGTATTAGGTTGACCCATATGAAATTGTCATTTTTTACAGGTCTGATGTATCAAGTATCAGCAATTTCATATGGTTCAATCTGATATTTACATTTGTAGCTAATGGGGTAAGAATAGCTACCTTCTTTGTAGGAAGAAGTACATGAAGACAGATTTGTTTTTGTTATAACTTTGGTCCATTTTCACGCTGAAGCTTCCCACCAGGAAAAGGAAGAAATCCCATTATTTATATAGCAAGTAAAGTATGTTGCTTTTCCTGTTCCCATGCCTCCCAGTTTCAAACAGGATCCTGACATGGTATCTTTCATTTAACATTAGATCCCTAGACAGTTTCACCAGTATCAAAAGTGAGGTTTCATTCACAATAAACAGAGAAGCGTGTGGCTTTTTCTGTCTTCAGCTCTGGAAACTCTTGCTTCATGGGCTGGAAAGTCAAAACAGCTCTGTGCTCTATTGGGGTCTGCCAGTTATACCAAGCCTCACAAACCAGTGCCGTGTGGGTTTATGCTGATCTCTAAACCTTGGGTCTTCCTGCCTGTCTTCCTTTTCAGAGGCATGAAAGTCATTGAAAGTCGAGCCCAAAAGGATGAGGAAAAAATGGAAATTCAGGAGATCCAACTGAAAGAGGCCAAGCACATTGCTGAAGATGCCGACCGCAAGTATGAAGAGGTCAGATCTTGGGGCCCAAAGCCTCATGGACTCCACGGCAGTGGCCTCGGTGGGGCCCAGGGAGCAATGCTTACAGCCTTGTGTTCTTTAGTGAAACGATCTGCTTTGTTGGTGGAAATGGGTGGTTTTGAGAAGGCAGAGTTCCTCGGTCTCTAGAAAGCAGTTCTGATTTGATCCTGCTAAGGGATCCCAGGCTTTATCATGAAGCCAGTCCATAGCACTGAGAAGGACTGAAGCTTCCCCCATGATCCCCTGCCTTTGCCACCCCCAGACCAGGACAAAAGACCTTTGGCCAGGAGAAGGGAGAGTTGGGCCTCTTGTCCCTTGTGGAAAGAGCCTCTCGTATTGTCACTGTGCAGGCCACTCTTCCTGGTGTGATTCGCCTAGCACCATCCCGTTCACGCAGCACAGAGACACAGTCCATGCACCAAAGGCCATGTAGATTCAAGAAGCCCTTTTCAGTCTGTCCTCTCTTTTCAGTCCCACTGTCAAGAGAGGTTCACCAGTGAATCAGCTTCTGGTCATGCCCCATGAGAACGACCTCCTATGATAACAAAGCTATTACGACTTGTTTCAGTCTTCCCTTAATGTATCATGGCTATCTTGAAATGGTGTTGACACTACTTTTTCCCATCACATTATTATTATTATTATTACTACTACTACTACTACTACTACTACTACTACTACTACTACTACTACTTCTTCCAGGTTACCCTCCTTGAAATGCTTCAGAGGACCTCTTCTCCCATGTTCTTTCCTCCACTGAATACCGAGTTGACTTCATTAGTCATCTTACCAGCTCATCCCATGTTAGCTTTTGTTGCTGTTCTGTTGTCATTTTTAACCTCCTCCACAAAGAGGAGGTTGAGGTACAGAGCTCTAAATTGATAGAGTTCTCAGGAGTATTTTCAGTGTTTTTTGGCAGCGCCTACCTTTACAGCATCAAATGCAGCATGTCTCATCATGCTGCTGTTTTTGAGATTGTGAATTTTATAGCTCTCCCTCCTTCCACACTTTGGCTGGCTGCTGTGTAATTATATGGACTTCACCTGGGTCAGACTTAAAATGAGACTGCCTACTCATGGGGCGCCTGGGTGGCTCAGTCGTTAAGCGTCTGCCTTCGGCTCGGGTCGTGATCCCAGGGTCCTGGGATCGAGCCCCGCGTCGGGCTCCTTGCTCGGCGGGAAGCCTGCTTCTCCCTCTCCCATTCCCCCTGCTTGTGTTCCCTCTATCGCTGTCTCTCTCTCTGTCAAAAAATAAATAAAATCTTAAAAAAAAAATGAGACTGCCTACTCATAACCAACTATTCTGGTCTTTGTGAGCAGAAGCCTCTGGCCTACTCTCCACTGGCCCTCCTGGTAGAGAGTGGCTTCTCTCCAGCCCACGAGAAAAAGGGCCATCTTATTTGTCTGTAAGAACGTCTAATGGATCCAGTACCCGCCTCCATGCCCTGTCCCCTTACTTAACGCTTGCCAGCCCCATGGTGTGTGTGTGTTGTGTTGTGCTGCAGGTGGCCCGTAAGCTGGTCATCATCGAGAGTGACCTGGAACGCGCGGAGGAGCGGGCTGAGCTCTCGGAAAGGTAGGCGGGCCCAGTGCCGGTGTCCTGTGTGTGGGGTGCTCCAGAGCAGTGACTAAACAGCATGACCTTCTGGCAGCTGCACATTTACCTGTTTCAGCTCCGGGCTCCTTCTGCGCTCATCTGCCGTGGATGAGCTGCGAGTATGAAACACGGAGGACTTGTGTGGGGTGTCTGTATGAATGCGTGTATCACTGCATGCCTTCCCTGCACACTGATTTTGAGAATGGCCTTGTGCATTTCCTGTGTCCACTAACAGCCAAGTTCGACAGCTGGAAGAACAATTAAGAATAATGGATCAGACCTTGAAAGCATTAATGGCTGCAGAGGATAAGGTACTGATGGCTCGTGTGGTTTTAGGTTTAACTGCAACCCAGACGTCTTTCAGCTTCCAGTGTCTACTGGTTCGTTTGGTATAACGACACCCTCTGCTGTCTTCTATCTTGCTTTAAATGCTTTCTTTGGGTCCTTTATACTCCTTTGTTTTTCCTTCATAAATGCTCTTTGGTGCAGCCAAAAAAAGAAGCCAAATTATCACACTTCAGAATTGTTGGATTTTGTCACCCTGCCTTGGTGCTGTTGCAAGGTTGGGGACAGTGTCCTTGACAAAATGGAGCATTTTAATACCTGACGATTTGGCTACTTTAAGGCAGCCCTTTGTTCTCTAGGACTCAGTTCTCACTTTTTCCCATCCCTCTCCTTTTTCTCTCCTCCTTCCTTGGGCTTGTCTCCCACCCTTTCTGCCTCTGATCGAAAACGTTAGCAAATGTGCCGAGCTTGAAGAAGAATTGAAAACTGTGACGAACAACTTGAAGTCACTGGAGGCTCAGGCTGAGAAGGTAGGCCAGGAGCACGGTGTGGGGGAAAGGCGTCTCATAAGAGCTGCTCAAAAGGCATGCACTCTTTCTCGTCTGAGGCCCCGCCGATGAAGGCAAGAGTCCCTTAGGCATTTTATTTAGCAAATGGCATCATTGTGAGGTGATTTCCTGATGGTTATTGGATAGCATTCTTTTTTTTTCTTTTAATTGAGAACATATTTTATGTTGAGTATGTGAGTCCGTCTGCAACAATTTAATTTAAACCAAGCGCCACCTGGCTGAGTTATCTTGTTCTTATCCCATGTAAAACAATAGGCAAGAAAACAGAGAATGTATTGTAGCGTGCCATTTGATATCAGAGGCTCCATTACCTCCTAAGAGATCCTCAACATCTGTTGGCTGGGCTGGCACTTTCTTTGTATTTGAAGACCTGAGTATAGAGGGAGCTGTAGCCTGACATCTGGAATGCTCTTTCTAATTACAGTACTCGCAGAAGGAAGACAAATATGAGGAAGAGATCAAGGTCCTATCTGACAAGCTGAAGGAGGTAATATTATGAGTGTTTTAGATGAAGCCAACTGGATTTTAACTGAGTCCCGTTTTTATGGAGCTGGTCAGGGTTTCTTCATCTCAAAAGTATGGTGAGCCCAGTCAGGAATATTCAAAGGTGGTCCTGGAGTTAATGTGCTGTGCTAGTGACGGACTGACAGGCCATTCCAGACCCATTTCGTGGGTGCTGTGCTTGACTTTCATTCTCTAGTTCTCCCTGTATTTGTAGCTACTAGCGATGTAAAACTTCCCAATTCTGACTGAAATAAATGGCATCCTTACAGGCCGAGACTCGGGCTGAATTTGCGGAGAGGTCAGTAACTAAGTTGGAGAAAAGCATTGATGACTTAGAAGGTAAGATCTTAAGTTTTATTTTTTATTTAGTTCTTATGGTTGACTACTGACCTTGCAAAGCGGTTTTCCAACCTAAATGCATCCTCCTTGATACGCTTCTTTGCTCTTGCACATTCTTCCTGTCTGCCCTTTGGGGTTTTCATTCTGTGGCTCTTAAACTCTTGGACCTGAGTCCTCTGCTCACCAGATGACTGCTAGCCACCAGACGAGGCCCGTCTCTCTGTGACGGCAGATGCCATCCAGCTTGACTTCACACTCTGAGAAGTGTGGCAGGTTTACTTGTCATTGTGGGTGAGGCGGTTGTAGGTGAGAGCGACTAGCGTATTTTCTGCTCAGTGATACCTCCTGATTGTCAGAGTGGCATGGATTTGTTTTTAGACACAACTCATCTTCCAAGTAAGAATCCAATATAAAGGTTGGGTTTAAGTCCTTCATATCTTGGCAAATGCTCCACATTCTGAAAGGGGTGTGGGGCTAATAGGACATTGTTGTTTGAGATTATATTTAAGCCTTTCTCCCCTAAGGTATGTAGGTTTTGTTTTAGTAACACCCACCTTTGTCTCACAGAAATCCTAAATGTTGAACTCTGAGGCGTGTGGAGGGTCAGCTATGAAAAAGAATACAGGGAAATATTTAAAATGGACAAGAAAGGCAGAAGGGGCTGGCGAAGGCACCGGACGTTGGTGCTGATGATAACCAAGCTGGTGGGGAAGAGAGGGTGACAGATGGTTGCAAAACAATCTGCCAGAGTGCAGCAAAGAATGAAACCCTCCTCATTACAGAGACTAAACTGGAGACTTGGCACAGCAGCACCCTAAACGAGTGGCTCCCCTCACTTCTCAGGCCCCCCAGGCCAGGAGCAGGGGAGCTTAGCAAGAAGACCCCCCCCCCCCCGCCCCCAGGAGCAACTCACAGGGCACTCAGAAACTGATATCCCAGGAGTCTAGTTTGGTCAGGAAGTCAGTGGTTGGAAGGCGGAGCCAGATCAGGATGACAGACCAGAGACAAAAATTGTTCTTCCAAAACACTGCCCGTGGATATTTTCCCCACTGTTTATAGTAGCAGGCGGCTGACTGCTCCAGCGCCATGAAAATGGAGCTATAGACAGGAGAGGTGTGCTGTCACCTACCCCGCTGACAGCCTTCTGTGGTGTCATTTAGGGTTTAACATGGTTTACTGCTATACCAACCATATTTGTGATGATTTTCATTTTGGGTCTTTCTTGTTTTATTTTCTAATGGCTTTTGTTCTTTTTGTCTTTGTTTCAATTCATTTAAAAACAAAATGCACGCCTCCTGCGTTGGCCAACTGCTGCGATACCACTTCCTTCACGCACTGCCCCTTTCTTGCTGCTGTGTCGGGATGGCGTCTGCGCCACCCCCGCTCACCCTCCATCTCTTGATCACTCTCCATGCCCTTGCACCTCTGCCTTCCACTTCCTGGTCATAGACGAGCTGTACGCTCAGAAACTGAAGTACAAAGCCATCAGCGAGGAGCTGGACCACGCTCTCAACGATATGACTTCCATGTAAATGTTCATCCACCCTGCCTGCTCACATCCGTGCCCTCATGCTAATACGATAAACTCACCACTGCTCCCTTCTGTACTTCCAGAAGCTCCATCTTCACACCTTTCTGTTTACTCTCTTTGCATCACCTAGGATAGTTTGGTTTTGTTCACATTCTACTAATACAAAAGCCAAGCAGATTAAGTCTGTCTGTACAAATCATTTTCCTTTCAGAATCTGTTTCTTTCACAATCTCTGAGCTAGATTGTTCCCACCAAGCAGTGAACTGAAATATGAAGGACTCGAGAGCTACCCTTTTAGGAAATCAAACTAGGCTCAAGTAAAATTGGAGGCCATGCCATCGTGCACAAACTTCCCCAGAAATATCCAAAAAATTGGTATCCTGAGATTCAGTTGAATACAGTATGATCATTTTTGTAAAAGATCTATAAATTTAAGGAACCCTAAAGTTCCTTAAGTCCAGTTATTGATGATCTGAGAGGAAATTGATCCAGTACCGCCTAAGAAATGGTGCTGTGAGAGATCATCTCTTCCTCACTTTTAAGAATTGTGGAGAGAAATGGTTCATCTGCTGAATACCAGAGCCTTTAATTTTCTGTGTTTAGATAAAAGCGATTGAAATACTCACAATGAACACCACAACTGGTGTCAAAGAATTGGGAAATAAAACCCTGATTGCCCAGTATGAGTTCGGGAGTTAATGCCCACTTTTAACTGCATGAGGCAGTGAGAGTTGGAGTAGATCCCTTGTTTTCATGAGAGCTTTGAGCATACACAACTAATCCGCATATTGCTAACTAAACCTAAGCATCACACTTCTCTGCCTCTTTAAATTCTAACCTGGAGCTTTCCACAGAGGGTTCCCTTCATTCTAATAATATGGCACTGAATTCCATGTAAGCTGGAAATTTCCAGACCCACCTATGCAGGGAAATGGTAGCCTGAAGGGTGTGGCCTGTCCTTGCCACCTCACAGGTTCTAGAATCTCCACATCACCATAAGATATATTGACTATCCCCATGGAAAGTAAAGAGAATTCCATGCTCCCTTCCCTCGTTTGTAAATGCGGGAGTGAATCAGAACCTCTGTCTCTAAAGTCTTTTCCAGTGCTAAAATGTGGTGATTCTATAGGGAAAACTCATAACATTGTGTACAATTAACTATTCTGAAAGGTGGGTTAGCTTAAAGTCTGTTTTTAAACTCTGTTCTTGGGTCTTCTTGGTAATGGCCCCTCGCCTGGAGGGGCGTGTGCTGGCCTTGGGTCCCGACGCTGGTGGGTGAGGATGGGCATCCTCCTGCAGGTGCAGCTGGCAGCGGGTTTTGCATGTCTGCTTCTGATCTGTGTGTCAGGTGCTGCTCTCCTCTGTTAGTTTGGTTTTCCTTTTTTCCATTGTGCCACTTTGTTTTCTTTTTCTCCCACCTTTTCTCCTCATGCAGATAAGTTTCTTTGCTTCACTTCTCCCGAGACCCCTTCATCAAGCTGGCTGTCCCACCTCTCTGAGCTCTGCAGTTTGTCTCTTCTCCAGCTGACCTGGCTCGTTCCTTTAGCCTCCTGCCTCAGGGCCAGGCACACTGCTTTCCATTGTACAGAAGCTCTTCATTTCAGTGTCAAATAAACACTGTGCAAGCTGTTTCTGTTTGCTCTTCTTTTTACTTATTTATTGACATTTTTTTGTTTCAACACTGAATAAAACTACAAATCTATTTCACACATATGAGGGTTAGTTTTTGGCTGCTCCCCCTCCCCCCCATGCTGAACATTAATATTAAAAGTTTCTAAAGCAGAAGTTCCTTACGGAACTTTTAAAAAATACTCGTGCGTGGGTCCCTCTGGGCATCTCCGGGGGCGGGGGGAGGGTGGTTTGTGTTTTTGAGAGGGTGATGGTTCTGGTATGTAGTCCTCGTTGAGAACGTCCGCACAGAGGACATTGCTTGCTGGAGTGAGAAGATGTGCCTTGAATAGTGTCTTCCTCTGCCAGAGGTTTGGTGTGGGATGTGGTGAGCCCCCTGTGTGGATGCTGAGGTGGCCCTGCTTGCAGGGACGTGACTAACTAGCGGCCCACACTGCCAGGAATTCACATACCAGGATCTCGAAAAATTACTTGTGTCCTGACGGTGGTAGTTGAGGTTATTGTTGATCATCCTTTTACAGCCTAAAGAACCATTAAAGCTTTTTAAAAGTATATTCATTACTCAGCCACCTTCATTTTGATCATGAAATGACATCTTAAGTTTTTTTTTTTTTAAAGATTTTATTTATTTGAGAGAGAGCAAGAACATGAGCTGTGGGGAGGGACAGAGAGAGAAGCAGGCTCCTTGCTCTGCAGGGAGCCCGACTCAGGGCTCAATCCCAGGACCCCGGGATCATGACCTAAGCCGAAGGCAGACGCTTAACTCACTAAGCCACCAAGGCGCCCCTTAGTTTTCTAAATATGATAACATTTAAGTCAAGGTTCATTTTTGTGCCCTTAAGGACATCACGTATTTTTTTAGGAGGGTTTGTATGTACATAATCTTTGTGATATCCTTCATTTGTAGGCATTTTTAAAGATAGCCATTGGAGTTGATTCTTTTTTTTTTTCCCTAAAAGCAAATTTAGTAGAAATTGTTCAGAATAGAGTTATATTTTATTTAGGCTTTACTGGTTCACTTCAAAAACAGCTAAGTGATTTTCAAAGAGAAACATATTGCAAAATTAGAACTTTAAAATGATGTGGACTTTTTGTTTCTTAATTCCCAGCATTTCTGCATCCTCAACAGTCTGGCTATATTTCTCCTGTGCTTTAAATGTGGGTGATTTTCATCTGTTTTTGTTAGTCTGAGAGGGTTGATATATACCACTATAGTCAAATAAATTTAGACAAACTGAAAATAATGTCATTCACTCTACAAAGACTTCAGAGCAGAAGAAAAATACTCTTTTTAAGAGGACCACAAATTATTTTAATAGTGTTATAGTAGGCTCTCTAAAATTTAGAATCTGGAGTCAGTGTCTCTCCCTTGGGAGTGTAGACTTCTATAATTTCATGGATTTTTTTTTTCCCTAAGCCTCATTGGGTCTGCTTTTGACTATGATTCCTGTCCTCTCTTTTTTTTTTTTTTTTTTAACTCCTAGTGATAGAAGTGGGCCCTTCTCTGAGTGACCCTGTTTCCTGCTATAGACAAAATGAGGAGTCTGTGCAGTTAATTCTAGAGGCACATTTTTTTTTTCTTTTTTGGAAACCCTTGTAGAGACTTTCACACTTTCTACGTAAGAACATTCTACAAGGGGAAATGGGAAACTAATGGTTTAGGAAGGCAAATCTAGACTAGCCCCAGAAGGTGTGGGTTCACAAGAGGATCAATAGCGACTTGATTCCATCCAGAAATTGTCAGGGCCCAGGTGTCTATTTCAGAAGGCCAGACCATAGCTGTTGCTACTGCAAGAACCTGGTAGGATCAAACAGAAAGCACTGCTGAGTCTGGGCCCTAGAGGTTCCAGATGTCTGGGAGGTAGGACAGGAAGGGAAGACCCTTCCAAATGTGTAACTGTTTCTGGTCCCTGCCCTCAGGCCACCCGGGCAGACCAGCTCCATGGCAGCTGCAGGGGAGCAGGTCCAAAGGGGGGTGTGGTAGGAACATCTGTCATTTCAGCTGAGTTCACATTGACTCTGGGTTCTCCAGGGTTTCCCTAAAGTTCTTTCATTCCAGTTTGGCTGGACATGGACTTGGCAAACTGAGACATCCTGCCCGCCCATGGCGATCACCCCACATGCGGTAATGTGAATGTGCCGGTGGGGTTTAGCTTTGCAACCCCAGAGCCACATCCCTTACACAAGACACTGTGGAAGGCAGTGGAGATGTGAAGAGATGAGCCGGAAGTGTTCTTTGCCCCTGATGAGCTGGCCTTGCTGGAAGGTAGAGGAGTGAAGCATGTCTGAACTCGTAGATGGTGTACACTTGGAGCTACATGGAGAAGGTGACATTTGACTAGGGTTTTGAATATCCAGAGAGTGTGGATGAGCAAAAAGGACAAGGTAGCAGATACTTCAAGCAGAAAGCCTAGTGCATATGGCATCTTCCCCCCATCTCCTACCACTTAAGAGGAAGCTGAAATAAGACTTGATTAATTTCCTGGCACACCTGGGGGCCGGAGGCTGGATGGTTGCATTCTCCCCAGGGGTAGGATTGTCAGCTTTTCAAGATCAGTAAGTAGAATTTCTGGGTCCAGGTTGTCACTGTCATTCGAACCAGTTGTATATCCTCCTGCTTTTCATGGTAAGTGCCAGGTTCTTGTCATTTTGGCGGCATCCCCTGGGCCATCAGATACAGCCTGACACCTGTGGTTGGCCTCCCTGCCATGTGAGCAGATTGTATGCCCTTGTGTAAAGTTGACATTGCACTGCTCTCCCTGTGGGTGTTTGAGATTTTGTTCACTCTCTACACCTCAATCTCACGCCATGCATGAATGCCGTTCTCTTCAAGAAGTAAGCAAATGAATTTTAAGTCGGTTTCGTGTGGAGATGAGTGCTTGTTGGTTTTGCTGTTTGAGTAGAGTAGCACCCTGTATGGTGGTGACTGGGGGAGGGACAGGGAGCTTAGTTCTGTGTTTCAAGGACTGTAAATGCAGCAGCCACTGGGGGCCCCTTCTCGGTACTTCCTGAAAGGAAAGCCAGCCCCGAGAGTGCAGATGAAAGGGGTTCTGGGAAGAGGTGGGCAAAATGGGCAGGTTGAGGTTTCACTGTAAGTTCTCCACTATGACACTTGGGCTGTTGCCAGAAACTGCATGTGGCTCATTCACACAGTGGTTTTAGTAAGGTGCAAGAGGAACATCTCTCTCTCTCTCTCTCTCTCTCTCTCTCTCTCTCTCTCCCCCCTTGCCCCTGTCACTCCCTTTCCCTCCCCGGCCACCGAGAGAAAAATCCTGGCTCTTCCTAAGTCTGCCAGGCCTTTACCACCCACCCTTCCTGGGCGAGGGACAGCTGACCACCGGGGAAGGGTGAGCTGCTCAGCAGGTGACCCGAGGTATCTCTGTGTGCTGTCTGTTAACTCCTTTACCAAATCTGGCTAACCTCTCTTCCTTCTGCCTCCTCTCTTCTGCTAACCTGCTTGCTGACCTGTCCAGATCAACTCTACCAGCAACTTGAGCAAAACCGCCGCCTAACTAACCAACTAAAGCTGGCCCTGAATGAGGATTAAACTTAAGTGGGAAAGACCTTGGGCTGAATTCTAGGAATGGAGGCCATGGGCAGGAAATCTAAGACTGCCGTACCTTCAACTAATAGGGCTGACAACACTTGCTTTCTGCAGAATTGTACATGGAAGGAATTAGCTAAAAAGCTGGCTTCACCTGCGTTTTCCTCTTATATCTGGAATAATTAAGTTCTCTTTAAACCCCGAAACTGCTTTTGTGGTAAAATTACGTATATGTATATGAATTAAATATAACAATTCAATCGCAGGTCCTCGTGTTTGAACTGATACATAATGAGGACCAAAAATTGTTTTCTATTTCCTACAGAGAACTGAGTCCTGCTTTAAGTTAGAAAGCCAAAGCAGAGGAGTAACTATACACATATATATATTATATATAGGATGCAATATATAATATATATATACACATTTAGCTATTACATATTCATATTCCTAACTTCGTAATATCTGGTATAGTGTTTGATTAAATGTACCTATGCTTGGGCAAAATAGCTTTTGAAAACAGGAGCTCATGTCAGAAGTCCCTGATTGTCTGAAAGGTATGCTTTTATTCCGTCTAATGGTGTTGTTGGAACCTGGTGAGAATGTCATTCTAATAATAAATAGAACACTATAAGAATAGTAAGAGAATGTCCTACTGAAGTGTGCATGAAATATGTTGATACTCATTTTTTTTAATGAGCAGCAGAAATAAATCGTTTTAAAAGTTGTCAGAAAACCTCCTTACTTCATCTTTGTCTCCTGTGAGATTGTGTTACAACACAGCTCCCAGACCTTTACCTGCCTGTAACTCAGAAATGTCTGCTGTATTAACTGCAGTGCTGCAAGTACCCGTCCCTGTCCCCACGGCGTACGGCCCGTGGACCTCCGCCAAGCCCCACCTGCGCTTTATTCTGAGTGGACCCTTGGTGAAGGTTCAGCTGACCACTCTGTGAGAGCCCGCTGTGCCTGTAGTTCCTTTGGGTCAAAGACATCTTCCCCCTTTGTGGGTCCTTGTCTGGAAATGAGTAATACCTTACCAGCATGCCTTGTCCTAATCATCTCATCTTTGTTTGTGACTGATGTTTGCCTGCCTAAATGTAAAAACCGCCACTGTGTCCAAAGTGCAGCTATTCATGACTTAATTTTCTAATCCCACCACAGAGAAAGTGGCTCATGCCAAAGAAGAAAACCTTAGTATGCATCAGATGCTGGATCAGACTTTACTGGAGTTAAACAACATGTGAAAACCTCCTTAGCTGCGACCACATTCTTTCATGTTGTTTTGTTGTTTTATTTTGTTTTGTTTTGTTTGGAAACACCATGCTTACCATGAAACCCCTTAAACGCATTTTTATTTACTTTTACACTGTCACAGAAAACAGCCACGAAATACCAGCTAGGTCAGGGGATGGGGAACACACACACACACACACGCGCGCGCGCGAGCCCGTGGCAGGGCCGTAATGACTTAAATGTGCCATTTCCCAGGTTGCCATTGCCACATTTCATAGAGAGTTTTGCAACCCAGTGTACTCAGCCAGTCCAGGAATCCTCACTAAAGCAGAAAGATTTCCACTCAAAGTGCCAACGATGTACTCGATAGGCAGATTAATGTTGAAAACACAATCAGGTGTGGATTGGTGCTACTTTAAACAAAAAGTCCCACTGTGGTCTTTCGTTCAATATTGTACAATTTAGAATTCTGTCCAACACTAATTTATTTTGTCTTGAGTTTTACTACGAGATGAGACTGTGGGTCCTGTATGCCTGAATTCACTAAAGCCAAGGGTTTGTAAGGCACGCTGCTCTTGTAAGACTTCTATCTCCTTCTCGTTGGCACACTTGTGGCTCGTTACAACTTGTAGGGTAGCATTCGGTGTGGATTTCCACTCTCCATTTCTCCATGTTAAAGATTTAGGCACTACGTACAATTGGTAAAGAAAAAACATTTTCTTAAGAGTTATAACTATATGTAAACATTGTATAATGGTATGGAATAAAATGCACATTGTAGGACATTTTCTAAATTTGGTGGTCCTGTCGTTTGTACCTTTTTACTTTGTGAACTTCAGATGGTATGGTTGACCTACCTTCGCTCATGAATGGTTTCTTAAAACAGTATCCCAGAGATCGGGGGAAGCTGGGTTTTGTGTGTCATCCTCCCCCCAGCACTCCAGGCAGCATCCCTTAGGTCTGTTACAGTTACAACCCAGCAGGAAAGACCCTTTCCAAAAGCCTTTCTCCATGTTACAGGCACCTATCTGCACACACATAAAGGTTTTTGCAGGGGTTGTACTGTTTGGGGGATCCTCCCTCAAGTCTTAGCTAAGTCTTTAGCCCACACACGTCAGATGGTGAGTGAATGCACCAAGCGAGCTCTCGTCCCCCAGCCACGTGACTCTCCTTAAAAGTATTGCTCTGTAGGGTCTCTGTGATTTTCTGCTTTTGCACTCCTGCTGAGTTCTGAATTCCCACACTTCATTCTCTCCGACTTGGAAACTGAAAATACCACCGGTCACTCTTGAAGACTTGAAGCAAACAAAAGGAGATTACAAACAAAATTAGTTGGCCAAACTTGGGCTGCAGGGCGGAAAAGGATGTTCTCTTGAAAAGCGAATGCGGTAGACTGGGAATAAACGAAAACTCATTTGGATGACAGATAATGTTTTCACTAAAAAGGATTAAATATATCTGTAGCTATTCTTCCAAGCCCTCTGATCAGGCATTTTTCTCTCCACAGAAAGGAAGGGCGTGTAAGGCAAAGAACCCAAAAAGAAGCCTGGAGGCCAGGCTTGCGGGTTCCCACTTCTGAAAAACGGTCCCCTTTCTCGAGGCAAAGAAACACTCTGGGTCTCCCCTTGTCTTCAGCACCCCTAGGCTCCCCGCTGCCTGTCCTCAGCTAGACCAAGAATGCCTCTCTGCCTCATTGTAGTCACAGAAGCCCTGAACCCAGCACCCTTTGACTTTGGGAGCCAGGTCTGGCTTCACCTTCACTAGCTGCCTAGCCGGTCAAGTCCCGCAATCTGAGATTCTTCATCTATGAAATGGGGATGAGATGAGCACCTAGCTCCCTGGGTATTACCACGGGACTGGAATGTATCACCCATGTCATAAAGCACAGCACCTGGGACATGCTTGATAAGCATCAACTGCCTCTGTCCTCATGCCATGTGTGCTCCAGAGACCACTGCGGAGGGCCTTCACCAAGCCTTCACCACCTGACTAGGTGGAGCTGGGCCAACACCTCACCCCCCATGACGATGCTTAGGAATACTGTTCTCAGAGACCATATGCCAGAACCTGTCAGAAGTGCCTCACAGGGGTTCTCTCAGCTTCCCGTCAGTCCCCGTTTCATTAACACGGAGACCAAGGCTCAGTCCGTGGAACTACTCAGTCCCATGGCTCCCGGGGAGTGGGGTCGGGCGTCAGGTTTCAGGCCCGCGCGGATCCTCTCACATGTTTCAGATGTTGTGCAGCAGAAGAAAAGCCACTGCTGGACGTAGCTAGAAATAGATGAGGCGGCAAACACGGTCGGGGGAGAAGACAGGGAAGATGTAGGTGGAATCAACTTCGGGGCTGCCGTGACCACTAGTGAGTGGTTTCCGCCTAACTTCCTCCCTGGGCTCCAGAGGCCCAGTGAAATCATGAATTAATGAAGCATCAGGCCAATTCCAAGAATTCTTGCCTGATCTTTCTGATAGGCAGGAGGGAACACCCTGTCTCCACATGGCACACACCTTGGGTCTGTTCCAATGTGATAATCTCTGAACATGCTGCCCCTGCCAGGTCAGAAGGAAGATAAGGGCTCTTCCAAATGGGAGCACCGAGGCTGGAAGCTGATAGTCAACATTTAGAAAACCATGAAGTACAGAGAAATAGTTCAAGATTCATACCCTAAATTCCATTAGCAGGCCCGGATTTCAGAATGAGCAGCTGGAGAAGTTGCCGTGTTCAGGGTAAAACACTGTGGCTCTCCACAGAGAAAAAGGGTACAAGTAAGAAATCAGCATCTCCCCAGAATGTTTAAATTTGTAATGAGAGTTCCATAATCTGTTCCTGAGGAAAAAAAAGCACTTTCTCGATACATTCTTAACTTTTTGAGACTGGCATTGAGGAGAACAATTCCCCTCCTTATTGCTCCTGGAGAGGTCATTAGCAGAAAGAAAATCTAGTTTTTGTGTATGCTGGTATGTATTCTCCAGAGTATAATATTTTTGGCCTGATTTTTTTTTTCTCCAGGAAAAAAAAAAAGTCTTTTTACTTGAACAAATATTTGAGTGTATGTTAACCACTTTTTCCAACTTGTCAACACTATTTGTAGATGTAATTTTGTTTTAAAATCTGCAGTCAAATCTACATACAGAAGAAAAAAAAAAATCTGAATTCTCCAATCAAAACAAAAAGCTCTGGGGTGCTCAGGGAGCCATCATTTCCCGAACTGGAGGCAGGGGTTTGGGAAAAAATTAGAAATGTCAGGCAGTGCAAGAAGTGTTCCTTCCATTATATATACTTTTTGACGTTGAGAGTGTTCAGAGCTACATTCCTCCAACAGATGTCATAAATTTTGTATGTCAAACAATGAATGAAGCTATGTTGAGGGTTCACTAACATGAATGCAACCTTTGCCAAGTTTTTGACAAATGGGCATCGACCTAGAGGATAAGACTGGTTCCTGCTGCCTGCGACAGTTTTCTTTCCATCTGTTTCCAAGGCCATGGAGAACAAAGAGTCAAGGCCTTATCAGGGCCTGCCAAGGCTGATGCCCTCACCGAAATGCTGATTCAGAGCCCAACTGGAAGGAGGCTTTTAATCAAGGCCTAGAGAGTTTTGATGGCTTGCTCAAGGTCATTCAGCTAGTGGAGTTTAGCTCTCTTGCAGGGCCTGGAAAGCAGAGGGGCAAGCTCTGAAACCTGCTCCACCACTCACCATGACCTTGGTTCATTGTACCATTTTGAGCAGCAGTTTCTTCAGCCTCTTCACATATTCTGCACCTCTCACAAGCCTGGGAACTAAACCAAGTGGTGTGTGTTGATGCTCCTACCACCTCCAGGCCCTTTTCTGCTCCTCAGCCTGAGCCTTTTTCCCCCTTCCTTGGGGATCCTTAGGGAGACTGAAAGTAACTCTGTTCCTTTTGAAGTGAAAAATCTCTGGGACCATTCCCCCTGGAGGCCATCTGTCACATGGCCTCCATACCACCCATAAAAGCCATTCAGAATACGGTCGTTGATGGGACAAATGGCCAAGACACAAACGCTCAAGTAACACTTCTAGAGTCGTTACCAACAGTGCACAGAAGGTAAAGAATGTTTCAAAGCAATAGATTCAAATTCCTTTGTTAAGCAAAACACCGGCCTTTGAAAATAAGTTTCTATTGCTGCGTTCTCGAACTGCATTTGGACATGCTAGAGAGTGAAGCGGACAGTAAGAATACACGAATACTGCCCAGGGGCCCTGAAGCAGACGTGAACGAAGGCAGGCAGCCCTGGTTCAATCTTGAGCAGCCACAGGGCAGGACCACTGCAGAACCCACGTCTCCAGAGGAAAGCTAGTGATGGCCAAACAAGCCCTTTGTGTGTGTGGCCCAGGATTGTTCTGTCTCCCAAGAGGCCCCCTGGGCCTGGGCCTGGCTGGGCCAAGGCTCCTCTGGGCGGATGCTGCATGACCAGGGTGGGGGGGGACAGGTAAGAGGAAAGCACACTTCGTGATGGTGAGTCCCGATCTGTTTTCAACTTTGGAATGCTAGATGCTCAGGAATTGGAATTCTTGTTCCTTAGACTCACAGATTGGATATTAAACTCCCAGGGACACGCAGTAGGATGGTATAGCCCTTTGGCCTTCCAAAGAGCTAGGATTTGATGGGCTGACCACATTCTGCCTCAGCACCCCCACCCTGCACTCTGTCCCACTTCCTCTATGAAAACCATTTTTCACACTAAAACAGTTTGCCAGTAACTACTTGAATCATGCTGTGGTTCTAGGACACCGTTATCTAAAGCAAGCCCTGTCACTATCCCAAAAGGGTTTAGTACTGGTGCTGAAAGCCCAGAGAGTATATTAGAAGTGTGAGCCAGCCCCCAGGGCAATAGGAATTTTTCATTTTTGCTCTTAAGGGACTGCTACATACTATATCTCAGAACCCAGATGGGAAGTGATGAATTACTGATTTATTCAGCTTGAAGACTGCCATTCCCATGATTTATCTTCCTCCTGCGCTCTCACAAAGTACTCCTTTCCAAAATACTCCAGAATTATCTGCCTTAGCACCTTCCCAAGAAATTAAAAAGGAACAAGTTGGAATAACTTGTCTAGGAATAGGAATATAATAAACGTAAAGAAAATGTGCCTAAGTGAAGTGTTTCTAGACTCAAATCCTGGCAAACCCGGTCACATCTCTTCATCCTTCAAAGCTCCTGTTTCTGGCTTGTGATCTCCCCTCTCCAGCTGCCATTTTTTTACTACTCTATAATCTCTTGTTCTGCTCACTTTCTCTTAAACACAGAAAGGACTCCCATATTGTCTTCTAGTAACTAGAGAATAGATGGAAATTAAGATTATACATGACTTGGTCTCTGGGACTAAGAAACTCCACTTCCATTTAAGAAGCATGCACATCATTTTAGAAAGGAACTCTAGGTTGGAGGTTGTAGAACAATATAGAAAAAGCATAAAATAGACTTCTCGCCCTCAAAGTCTATAGAAGAAGCAGTGCACACACGTTTAAAAATAATAGGATGTGATTACATGGCAAATTGAGAGTAAATGATATAGGAGTGCGTTGAAAACAGGCATCATGCCTCCTTCCTGGAAGATTGTTAACCACCTAAAACTGGGCCTGCTTCGTCGTTTTCTTAGAAGTACTCCCGTCACAGGCGGTTCACGACTCACCCTGACCTCTCAAACCTTAGAAACAAGATCTCTGCTCATTATAAATGCCTTGGTTTTGCTCTTTACTCAGGCCACCAAGTGTTTTGTTCTTCACTATAGTTTTCTTCTACCTGACTTTAACTGAAAAATTCTCCCTTCTTCC